GAAGTTTGTCGGCGCTTATGTCCATTTCCAGAAGTTGGAAGCCAAATGCTCCACACCGGCGTTCTATCAAAGCTATCTGGAGATGATTGCTGCCCAAGAACTCTCTGATTTTCTTCATACGGAGATCCACTCCAAATATGAAGTTGAAGCTCTTAAATTTTACAAGAACGGAAAGGTCAAGACTGTCAAATCAAAGAAGGATCCACAGAGGACAATTCAGATTATCCAGTCCACTATTGGAGGGACCAAAGTGAAGCTTTCGCAGAAGAAATTGGGAGAAAAGCTTCACCTTCCCAATTCTGGAGTTGAAATTGGGAGATTTCTAGTCAAAAATCTGGACTGGAATATTATTAGAATTTCTAGGCAAGCTCCCTCTGGCCCAGCGAAGAAAGCAGACCTGAACAACGACTACAAGCTAGTCCTGGAACTGGTCATTGCATGCCTCGAGTGTGGAAGTGGAGGACATGCTGATGACATCATCTAGGAGAGAGCCTTCATCATCAACGCCCTCATTACCAAATCAAAGGTAAACTGGGCTGCACATTTCTTCAATTCCATCTCAAAGCATCTGGGAAAGCCCAACCAGAAGTACCTCTGTCAAGGTCTATACCTTGGGTACATCATGGAATCTATGGGTGCTGCCTTAGAAGGGAAGAAGTATGAAGCCAGATATTGGCTATACTACCTATCTTCCAAAGGGGAAAACAAAGCTGGTGCTAGTACTACTGCAGAGGAAAGCTCTTCAGACAAGGTCCCAATTATAAATCTGAAGAAAACAGTCAAGAGGAAGCATGTGGTGTCTCCCTCTCCCAGTGTTGAAGCACCACATAACATTGCTCTGGTCAATCTGGAAGAAGAAGAAGTTACTGCCCTAGGCAAACTTCAAAGGAAGAAAAGGAAAATCTCCACTCCCTCCACATCTGGAAATGTCAACCCGGATGAGTTGAAGGAGAAGGAACCAGCTGAGGAAAACTTTGCCAACAACCAGAGCCCTCAACAACTTGAAAAAGAAGTTCCTCAAGTCCAAAGTCTTCCAACCCCCTCACCTCAACCTCAAACAGATGATGCTGATAACCAATTCTGGTAGCTCTACTATGACTGGAGAGCTTGGAAGGTTGGAAATTCAGCAGAGCAGCTGTTGGGAAGGGACCAACAACTGAAAAATGAGAAGATCATCAAGAAGTGCTTAGGTCTCCTAGTCAACTACGGTTGTGAACAAATTCTGGATGATGACTGGGTGTGGCAAAGGAACTATGAAGACTTGCATCTGGAACACTTGGCCACCACACCAGTTTCAAAATTTGAAGTGGATGATGAAGACCCTTCAGTGTACAAGCCAATCTTCTCAAAAGCCATAGAAGATCAGATGATTCTCACTTCTGAAGAGCAGGCTGACATAGAAGCCACAGTTGAGGATTTCCAAGTCTTTCCGAAAACCTCACCTACCTTTGAAACTGTTCTGCCTAAAGCTATCCAAGAGAAGGCAGACTCCCCTCCACAACAGAACTAGGAAACCTCAGAAGAAGCACTTATTCAAACTCTCCAATCTCAAGTTCAAGAGATTCTCACAACTACTTGTGAGATCTCCAACCAGCCTGAACTTGAGATCCTGGAGAAGTCAGGAGAACTTTTGGAGCAGTCCACTCCTCCAGAAACAAATGAAGTCTAAGAAGAACAAGCTGTAGAAATCTAAAGGAATTCTGCAGAAGCTGAAAAGGAAGCTCAAATGGCAGCACTGGAGGCCCCTAAAACTCTAGTAGGTGTTTTTGAAGAGTAGAATGAAGCTGAAGAAAGAGACTCCCTCTCTAGGGATATATCAAATTATATACTTGATGAAGCAGAAGAAGAATCTGAAAGCACGCTAAGGATTGATGATGATGAAGATGTGCAAGAAGATGCTAAATCCCTTCCTATGCAACTCTTCCAAAGAAAATCCTCTTCTCATCAGGTAACCAACTTCCATTTTCATAGCTCTTCCACGCCTGCTATTCTAGATGAAGTATCAGAAACCTGGACAAAGAAGGTCCAAGGGTTGATTGAATCAGCCCTAGCATCTCAGCATGCCTCTTTTATGCAAGAGATAGAGCAGATGGAAGCCAGGTACAACAAGCTAATGGAAATTAAAAATCTGAAGAGACACACTGCTCCAATCTCAAGGAGATAAGCAATTCAGTAGAGAAGACTCTAGAGATCATTTCTCTATTGGGTTAACTCTGTGAGCGCCACAATGGAGGCATGTGCATCTGACATTTATCTTCAACTCAAAGAGGTTAACAAAATCAAAGAGCAAATAGCAAATCTCACAGTCAGTCTACAGAAGCTGATGTCCCTTCTCCAAATGGACATCAGATCAGCCCTGGTAGTGTCTTCAGCAAATCAAGTAGTAACAAAAGACTACTTGAAGGTTATTATTGACAATCAGAAGGAAGCATTCAGACTATTGAGACATTTTGGGCATTCTGGCAATCGCAAGTTAGAAGTCATTGTCCAACAACACAGTCCATCCTTGATTCCAAAGCTCTCTATTGCAGTCAAGGAAGTGAAAGGTAACCACGGTTGGGTGGGCAGCGGAAATACAAAAATTTAATCTCCCAATAGTGATTACTAGCCCAAGAATACGTACTAAAACTATAGCTAGAGATAGAAACTTATACCTTCTCCGGTAAAGCGGTATGAACGAGAAGCCGAGCAAAAGATGTTGAAGGAGCAAACGTAGCCGTTCAAGCATCCGGCCTCCAACTTTGACACACGAACAATCTCCGGAGTCTACTATAATCTTTATGCTAGTAAAGATTATAATAGTATATTTAATATAAAGATTTAAGAGGGATAATGTTAATCTTGTATATTAAATAGTAGAAAATATATCAATAATATTTTAAAGAAAATATTATAACTGACGGAGCTAGATTATAGCGGTAAGTCAATAAAATTAACCAAGACTAACTCGGGTCGTCTCACAAGGATTGGCAAAGGGAAGTATTTGCTAATTGTCTTAATATTCTACTTCAAAGTAATTAATCCAGAGCAATCAAGTTCAGAGTAATAGCAGTAAATGATTAATGCAATCAATAATTTAGGAACAGGTATGAATTGAACAGGTATATGGGTTAAGATAATAATTTTGAATTAAGTTAACTTCTTAATTAATTTGACCCCATATCATTAACTTATCCATTTTTCAGGCCTCATTAATGTGTCTAAATATGGTTGGCTAGATTATTTTTCTTAACTCATAGACAAGCTAGATAAATAATCTTCAAGGATTAATTAATAAATTGGCCAGATCTATTAATTAGTGAATCTCATTTTAGACAATTGAATCAAATTAATTAAGTCACTAACTTAATTTTAACTATTAATCATTAACCCATATCCTTAATTCAATTCATACCTAAGTATAAATTTAGCCACTAAAAGCCATTAATTCACAATTCAAATCAAGTATAAAAGATAATTTTATTAATAAAAGAAAGTTCACAAGAAAGCTTACAGATCTTGAAGAACTGAATACAAAGATCACAATCTTCAAATCAACACTCTAAAATCTTTTTGAAAGACTCTCAACTCAATTAAGATGAAAAGTGAAGGGTTTTGGAGTGGTTGGAGTGATTTTGGAGTGGGTTTTTTGTGGTGGTGAAGCAAAAGGCCGAGTGGGGTATTTATACCCGAGCAGACCCCGCGGGCGCCTGTCAGCCCGCCAGCGCTAACAAGGAAGCTTCTGGATCACCGATGCTTCGAGAATTCAGGATAGGCGGTCAAGCAGGCGGCCGCCAGTGCCAATCTTTACCGCCTGCGCTTGAGTTCGCCGCCGGAGCCACTTTCGCCGTTTGCTGATGTTTGGCAGGCGGCCGCCTGCCTGGTCGCCTGTCGACACTCGGCTCCAAAATTCATCTCTTGCTCCAAAATTGATTCTGAACACCTTTCTTTCTTGCTCCAACTTCCAAATCCATTCCAATAGGAAAATATTACTAATTTCTTGTTGAAATCAAACATATTTTTATTTTTCTTGGTCCATTCAACTTTACTACTCAAAAATATAGATATATGATTTTTACTAGAAAAATTACTTCTTATTAAGAAGAAAAATTATAAAAAATTTGTTAAACGTAAGGATAAAATTATATATAAAACGACTTTATCAATCTCCTCACACTTAAACTTTGCTTGCCCTCAAGCAAAACAACTCAAGTAAGAAAAAGGAATGACATGATTCGCTGTCAAACTCGTAACTCTCAAGAACAACACCAAGTTACTAATCATATAACTTTCTCTTACTTTTAGCAATTCCTTGACTCATTTTCCTTTTATTAAAAAAAACTAACTTGTTTCTTAATTTATTAGGAGATGCACAAGATTTCATTCTCTAACCAATGCCCAAGGATTAAAAACTTAGTGGTTTTTGGACTTAGGGAATTACCTCCTCTATAACGACTTAACTCAAGTACTATGCTTTTATTATTTATAATTGTTCAATGGTTTTCTTTGGACAGAGCTCCATGGGAGATAGAATACTCACGTAACTTATAGACTATCGAGATTGTGGGTTTATCCCATTTTATTTGCATACTTGCTCCCTCACCTTATGCGATTCACGGGAGAAGCAGAGCTCCTTTACGGAGATAGGATTCCCAATTCGTCACTTAAGCGCAATCTCAATAGCTACATTTTTTTTTCATAAAAGAAGAGAAATTCCCATCATCCAAACTACTAGTTATTAATCCCTAACTTTCTCAACCATTAAACCCACTTGTGCATCTCTTAAAAAAATAAGAAATAAGTTAATTAATTTAACTAAAAGGAAAATATCGAGGAAGAGAAAGAGTACGAGAAAAAAATATGACTACAACTTAGTGTGTATCAAGAATTACGAGAGTGAGACAACAAATCATACCTGATACTCGAACTCTACCTCCTCACACTTAAATCGAACTACGTCCTCGTAGTCGAGATGCAAGAGATGAGTCAAAGTACAGGGGTAACATTCCTCCTCACACTTGAAATAAGCAATAAAGTGCAAGCTTAAACTATAAACAGGCCAAGTCAAAATAGTTTAAGATCAACAGAAATTAAAATATCTTCGCTACTGCTGGCTGGCTCTAGATGAAGGAGCTGGAGGCGCAGACTTCTTACCGAGCATCATCTCAAGCTCTTGGAGCTTCTCAGTGTTATACTCTAGGCGTTCATTCATCCTCTTCATTTGCTTCTCATGGGCACTATGGTCAGTCTCCATGATGTCCTTCACATCTTGTATGCTGGTCTCGATAGCACCCATCCTCGTGTTCATCTTCATCATCTCCTCTAGGATCTTCTGGAACATGGTTGGCTCAGCACCACTTGATGAGGCTGTGTACGTCCCAGGCTGAACAAAAGAAGACCCCCCAGCCATGAAAGTGTCCGTGGTGGCGTCTGGAATGGGAGAATGGACGGTGGTATCAAGCCCATCAAAGAAATCCAGGGGTGGCTCATCACTCTCCTCTACTCGACGCCTCTTCGCGATCCCCATCTTCGTGAGAGTAGTGGTGCTCAGAGGGCGAATGCTCTGGTCAATGGGAAGCAAATTATCTAGCATCTGGGGTAGAAGGGAACGTGCAAGGTGAGTAACAAAGGGTCTTGCCTGAAGAGTCTTCCTCTGGCTCTTCCCCTGAAGTAGGAAGAACTGAGCCATGAAGATAGCCAGGTTCACCTGAACCCTTTCTGCCACACTCCAAAAGAAGTATATGTCCTTCATGCCAATCCGATTTGAGTTAGTCGGACGACCGAAGAGACCATGTGAAAGCACAAAAATGAGTATCCTCCAGGCGCTGCTCCTCCACTGACAAGTATGTGCTGTGTTCTTGTTGAACAGTGTCGTCGACAGGGAATGCTGTCGCCAGAACTGCTCAAGGCTGAACTCTGAAGGTAAGGAATACGGAAGAGCAGCAAAGACAAGGGAGCGTGCCTCCTCCTCAGTGTATATCCCCAAATGACGCTTGAGCTCGGCCATGGAAAGGGTGAAGGCTCGACCACTAAGTGAGAACTTCAAGGTGGAATCGGGTCTGACATCAGCTGCATCCTTAATAGGCCGGCCACCATGCAGACACTGGTAGGTGCAAAGAAACTCAATCGTCAGCTCCAAACTAGACTGCTCTGCAAAGGTGAGCAAGTAGCGCCAACGAGAGTCTGCAAGTAGGCCATCAATCTCCTCCCAGTGGTTCCACTCCTCTAGGGTCACCTGATCAAGAGAGAGTGGCCCTAGAAGAGTTCTCTTCCTTCCCCATGTGCGAAAACGCTTACGGGGCTCTCCTGATGGCAAGTGCATCTCGAATGCAGCTGGCAGCGTGACATTGAGAGCCTCCTCCTCATAATCCTCTTCAGCCATCTGTAACCAAAACACAAAAAAACAAGCAATACAAATAAAGTGAAGGAAAAAAGTAAACAGTAATGTGAATAGTAAAGCATTGACGGGTTGCCTCCCGTTTAGCGCTAGATTTATTGTCGCTAGCTCGACGAAATTAGCATGATAATCCAAGTTCTCGGAAGTGAAACACTTCCGTATCCCTTTGAAAAGTTCCTCCACGGTAAATTTTCAACTGATGACCATTAACCTTGATTCGTCCTCGATGAGGATCATCAATCTCAACAGTACCATAAGGAAAAACCTGAGTGACCGTGAAAGGACCTGTCCATCTAGACTTAAGCTTTCCTGGGAAGAGTTTAAGCCTAGAATTATACAACAACACCTTATCTCCTACATTAAATTCACGATTTGCTTTAATAAACTTATCGTGATAAATCTTCGTACGCTCCTTGAGATAGGCATTGATCCTAAAGGCTAAAGTCCGCCATTCGTCTAACTCATTTAATTGGTAAAAACGCTCCTTCCCAGAAGTAGAAGAATCGAGACACACATTCATTAGGGCCCAAAGCGCTCTATGCTCAATTTGGACTGGCAGATGGCAGGACTTTCCAAAGACTAAGTGAAAGGGAGTAGTTCCTATTGGAGTCTTATAAGCAGTCCGAAAAGCCCATAACGCATCATCTAACTTGTCAGACCAATCCTTCCTAGAATGTGCTACAGTCTTCTCTAGTATAGCTTTAAGATCCCTATTAGTATTCTCAACTTGCCCTTGGGTCTGGGGATGATATGCTACTCCACATCTATGTTGGACCCCATATTTTATTAGCAGCTTAGCCATTGGGTCACTTCGGAAATGGGTTCCTCTATCACTAATCAAAATCTTCGGAACACCGAATCTAGTGAATAACTTCTTGAGAAACCTAACTACAGTCCTTGTGTCATTGGCCGGGCAGGCTTGAGCCTCAACCCATTTTGACACATAATCAATTGCCACAAGAATATACTTATTCCCTCGAGAGCTTGGGAATGGCCCCATGAAATCAATGCCCCAAACATCAAAAACCTCACATGGCAATATATATTGTTGGGGCATCTCATCTCTCTTAGAAATATTCCCAACTCTCTGACATTGATCACAAGACTTAACAAAATTGTGAGCATCTTTAAAAATTGTAGGCCAATAAAATCCACAGTCTAACACTCGACGGGCAGTCCGATTACCAGAGAAATGACCTCCAGTGGGCCCGGAGTGGCAATGCGATAGGATATCAAGAGCTTCAGACTCATTGACACAACGACGCACTACTTCATCGGAACATATTCGAAATAGATAAGGATCATCCCAAAAGTAGTGCTTAACTTTTGAGAGAAACTTTTTCTTCATGTGATAAGAAAAATCAATTGGTATAACTTTCCCAACAAGATAGTTAGCAATGTCAGCATACCACGGGGTCTCAGTTATGGATAAAAGTCTCTCTTCAGGAAACAATTCTTCAATCTCATTATTACTAAACTGGTCTACTAATCCCGCATCCAACCTAGAAAGGTGGTCGGCTGCCTGATTAGTAGAACCCTGCTTATCTACAATTTCATAATCAAACTCTTGCAATAATAAAACCAACGCAGAAGTCTAGATTTAGAATCTTGTTTCTTCAATAAATATCTAATCGCTGAATGGTCAGTATAGATAATTATTTTAGAAAGAAAGATGTAAGACCTAAACTTCTCTAAAGCAAAGACAATAGCAAGAAATTCTTTTTCAGTAGTAGTATAATTGAGCTGTGGTCCTGCCAAAGTTTTGCTAGCATAGTAAATGGGCCTGAAGTGATTATCCTTTCGTTGTCCTAGAATGGCCCCAATTACTAAGTCACTGGCATCGCACATTATTTCAAAAGGTGCCGCCCAATCTGGAGCGGTAAGGACCGGTGCTTCTACTAACTTCTTCTTTAAAGTATCAAAAGCAACTTTGCACTCGGTGGAGAAAACAAATTCAGCCTCTTTTTCTAGCAATCGGGTTAAGGGTTTGGCAATTTTAGAGAAATCCCTTATAAATCTTCTGTAGAATCCTGCATGCCCCAAAAAACTACGAATATCCTTAACAGAAGACGGATAAGGTAATTTCTCAATTGCCTCAACCTTAGCCCGATCTACTTCAATTCCCCTTTTTGACACTTTATGGCCAAGGACAATTCCCTCCTTCACCATAAAATGACACTTCTCCCAGCTTAGGGCTAAATTTGTTTCTTCACATCTTTTCAAAACTTTCTCAAGATTATGGAGGCATTCATCGAAGGTTTCTCCATAAATGGAAAAATCATCCATGAATACTTCCATAAACTTTCCAATAAACTTCTCAAATATGGCTAACATGCACCTCATGAACGTAGCTCGGGCATTGCAGAGACCAAACGACATTCGCCGGTAGGCAAATGTTCCTATTGGACAAGTAAAAGTGGTCTTTTCTTGGTCGGAAGGGTCAACGAGTATTTGAAAATACCCACTCATCCCGTCGAGAAAACAATAATACCCATGCCCAGCTAAGTTCTCCACTAACTGGTCTAAAAAGGGAAGAGGGAAATGATCTTTTCGGGTGGGATCATTTAATTTTCGATAGTCTACCACCATACGCCACCCGGTCACCACCTTGTTAGGGATTAGCTCTCCCTTATCATTAGCAGTGACAGTCATCCCTCCCTTTTTAGGTACCACATGAATCGGACTTACCCAGTCACTATCAGAAATGGCATAAATAATACCTGCATCTAAGAGCTTCATGATCTCTTTCTTTACGACCTTCCTAAGATTGGGATTTAACCTTCGTGGTTGTTGCGCCATTGGTCTCTTCCCTTCTTCAATAAAAATCTTATGGGTGCAGAAGGTGGGACTAATTCCCTTAAAGTCCTCAAGCTTTCTGGCGATAACATGCCCATAAAGCTTAAGCAAATCTATTAGCTTACCCTTCTGCTCCTCGGTTAGGTCGGATGCAATAATTACTGGGCACTTCTCTTCTTCATCTAAGAATGCATACTCCAAGTGGGAGAGTAAGGGTTTTAGTTCAAGAGTAGGCTCAGGTTCATTCTCTTCTTCTTCAGCCTGAACACCCAAAACTTGCTCTGCATTCTCTTCTTCCTGTAAAGCTTTATCACACAACTCCATCAACTCAACATATTTCTCTTCTGCTGAATTGGCCATGCTTATAATACCTTCATCTCGTGGGCCATCTTCAACAGGAGAGGTACCAAACCAGAAGTCATCTAAAGCATCAATAGCATTTACAAGATTGCAAGAAGCATGTTCTTGGTTTGCTATCTCTGGGAGTCGAAAGGTGCAAACATCATCTCCAACTCTCAGAGTTAGCGAACCATCTCTCACATCAATTAAAGCCTTACCGGTGGCTAAGAGTGGTCGTCCTAAAATAAGTGGAGTTCCCTTATTCTCCATGTCCAAAACAACAAAATCAACAGGAAAAATAAATTTCCCTACCTGTACTAATACATCCTCTACAATGCCTAAAGGATAAGTAACAGAACTATCAGCAAGTTGAATACACATCCTAGTAGGCAAGAGTTCTTTTATGCCTAGCTTTTGAGCAACATAAGATGGCATCAGATTAATGCTCGCTCCTAAATCGGCTAAGGCATTATTAAAAGCAACATTATCTATAAAACAAGGAATGGTAAAACTGCCAGGGTCTTTTTGTTTCTTTGGCAAATTCTTTGTGAGAACTGCCGAACATTCAGCACTTAAATTGGCAACTACAGGATCAAATCGAGGCTTTTTATTTGCTAACAACTCCTTAAGGAATTTGGCATACTTGGGCATTTCTGCCAAAGCATCCATTAGAGGCAAATTAATGTGAAGTTGTTTTAGCATATCTAAAAACTTAGTGTAAGTTAGGTGATCATCTACCCTTTTTAACCTAGTTGGAAAAGGAAGTTTAGTTTTAGGGATAGGTAAATCACCTAGATTATCATGTTCAGCCTCGTCCCTTTTATTACCATCCTCCCCAATCTCTTCATTAATATCTGTGTTAAGTGGAGTGGGTGCGGGTGGTGTAGGATTGACTACAACTTTCTCACCTTCAACTAACTTCTTTCCACTTCTTAAAGTTACAGCTTGAACATGCTCAAGTGGATTTGATTCAGTTGTACTAGGTAAATTTCCTGGTGAGCGGTGGGTGAGAGTGTTACTTAACTGACTCATGTACTGCTTAACATCATGTAATTCTCTTTGAAATTCAGATCTCAATTCAGTTTTGATGCTAGGCAGTTCAGTCTTTAAGTCAGATATAGTTTTAGTCAAATCCCCTAACATTTTTTCTAAGGAAGAATTATTCTCATTTGATCTAGCATGTGGTGGAACATAAGTCTGAGAATTACTTCCTTGATTTCTCCAACTACCTCCATTATTATTCCTATTATTATTTGGGCCATCATTTCTCCAATTATTACCAAAGTTTCTTTGATTATTAAAATTGTTATTTCGATTACTTTGGTATTGATTATTCTAATTAGCCCATGGTCCTTCATTCTTGCGAGCATATTCCATAAGATTAACATCATGAGAATTAAAATCATCATAAGGGCAAGCAGATGTTAAATGAGGACCCATGCAATTTTCGCAAGAAAGGACCAATTCAGAAGATTGTGAATGAGGGGCATAAGAATTGTAAGAAACAGAATTTACACTACCCCTAAGTGGTGGAACTTGATTCTTCTCTAGGTTTTTAATTTTAACGGTCAATGCTTCAATCTGTGCTCGAAGCGCAGTTGCTTCATCAACCTCAATCCTTCCTTGGGAAGAAGAAACTGGGGCACGATCATCATACCAATAACGAGAATTTGAAGTCACTTTATTGATCAATGCCTCATTTTCTTCTGGTGTCATCTCAAGGAAAGAACCACGAGGAGAAGAATAATCAAGTTCCTTTTTACTATCAATGTTTAAGCCATTATAAAAATGAAACATTAAACTACCTTGGCGAAACTGCTGGATTGACATACAAATTCGAGCAGCTGCCGAGGGTGGGAAATACTCGTTCATGAAGGCCTTATGTAAATCATCCCATTTAGAAAAATGACCCGTAGGAAAATTATTTAACCACCGTGCAGCTCTATCTCGAAGGGAAAATGGAAAAAGAGTGAGTCGCACGACATCTTTGTCTACCCCATTAATTTTAAAAGTAGAACATGTTCGGGTAAACCAAAGAATATGAGCCCTAGGGTCTTCATGTTTCATCCCACCAAATTGATTACTAGAAATTATTTGTATGATGGCAGGTTTTATATCAAAAGATGCGGCTGTAATAGCTGGAGTGCCAATACAGTCATTTTCTTCAAAAATGGGAATCATAGTATCCAAAACAGTGCGTCTATCTCTATTCTCCTCCCCCATTTCTCGATTATTTAAATTATTTTGAAAAGGATTTTGATTTCTTTGAAAATTTATATTACAATTAGATCTCAAAAGCCTTTCAGGATCTTCACAAAATTGTAAAATTTCTCCAGCACTAGAAGAACGGGTATGCATAAAAAAGTAAGTAATTAAAATTTATTTTTTTTATTTTATTTTATTTTTAATTTATTTATTATTATTATTTTATTTTATTTTATTTTATTTTATTTTATTTTATTTTTTTTATTTTATTATTATTATCATTATTATATTATTTTTATTTTTATTAACAACTAATTAACAAACAACAACCGTGCCAATCCCCGGCAACGGCGCCAATTGACGGAGCTAGATTATAGCGGTAAGTCAATAAAATTAACCAAGACTAACTCGGGTCGTCTCACAAGGATTGGCAAAGGGAAGTATTTGCTAATTGTCTTAATATTCTACTTCAAAGCAATTAATCCAGAGCAATCAAGTTCAGAGTAATAGCAGTAAATGATTAATGCAATCAATAATTTAGGAACAGGTATGAATTGAACAGGTATATGGGTTAAGATAATAATTTTGAATTAAGTTAACTTCTTAATTAATTTGACCCCATATCATTAACTTATCCATTTTTCAGGTCTCATCAATTTGTCTAAATATGGTTGGCTAGATTATTTTTCTTAACTCATAGACAAGCTAGATAAATAATCTCCAAGGATTAATTAATAAATTGGCCAGATCTATTAATTAGTGAATCTCATTTTAGACAATTGAATCAAATTAATTAAGTCACTAACTTAATTTTAACTATTAATCATTAACCCATATCCTTAATTCAATTCATACCTAAGTATAAATTTAGCCACTAAAAGCCATTAATTCACAATTCAAATCAAGTATAAAAGATAATTTTATTAATAAAAGAAAGTTCACAAGAAAGCTTACAGATCTTGAAGAACTGAATACAAAGCTCACAATCTTCAAATCAACACTCTAAAATCTTTTTGAAAGACTCTCAACTCAATTTAGATGAAAAGTGAAGGGTTTTCGAGTGGTTGGAGTGATTTTGGAGTGGGTTTTTTGTGGTGGTGAAGCAAAAGGCCGAGTGGGGTATTTATACCCGAGCAGACCCTCAGGCGGGCAGACAGGCGGGCGCCTGTCAGCCCGCCAGCGCTAACAAGGAAGCTTCTGGATCACCGATGCTTCGAGAATTCACGATAGGCGGTCAAGCAGGCGGGCGCCTGCTAGCCCGCCAGTGCCAATATTTACCGCCTGCGCTTGAGTTCGCCGCCGGAGCCACTTTCGCCGTTTGCTGATGATGTTTGGCAGGCGGCCTGGTAGGCGGCCGCCTGCCTGGTCGCCTGTCGACACTCGGCTCCAAAATTCATCTCTTGCTTCAAAATTGATTCTGAACACCTTTCTTTCTTGCTCCAACTTCCAAATCCATTCCAATAGGAAAATATTACTAATTTCTTGTTGAACTCAAACATATTTTTATTTTTCTTGGCCCATTCAACTTTACTACTCAAAAATATAGATATATGATTTTTACTAGAAAAATTACTTCTTATTAAGAAGAAAAATTATAAAAAATATGTTAAATGTAAGGATAAAATTATATATAAAACAAATTTATCAATAACAATTTTTACACCAAAATAATTTTGGTACCCAAAATAATTCTTTCTCTCCCTTTTTCTTTTTCATGGCCGAAACTCCCTCTTTAAAAGAAGAAAGAAAAAATGATTTTATAAAGATGAGTGGAATAATCCATAAAACATGTTCAAATGAAAAACTCCAAAAGTACATGGTATATTATGAAGTGTAGTGGGAGACAAAGCCCCCACACACACAAAATCATGCAAGGTACAAAAAGTTTAGGGGGGAGGAATATAATTCTTCTCCTCTCAAATGTTTAAAGTGTATTTTATTTGACATCAATAATTTTTATGATATAAAATAAAATACCAAAAACATTTTAAAACAAGTATATAAAATATACTTTAAAATAGTTTTTGTCAAAATAATTATTTTCATAATTAAGATGACACTCCAAAATAAAATGTACACAATATAATATATAAAAGTAATGATTAATACATATACACGTTACATATATATGCTTGTACATATAATAAGTATATTATGTATATATGTTTATGTGTGCCGTGTATAATGTATATACATACATATATATTATATTAAACATTTTACTTTACTATTTTACAATATACAAACTATAAAACTGTGTGACCCGTATAGGCACTTATAAAACAGGCCACAGTATTGACTCTACATCAATACTATAAGTAATAAGCGGTATCTAGCAACACATTATTACCCTCAGATTATAAGTTCAGACGTTTGCTCTATCAAAACCTTTCTACGACTAAGACTTTGTATAACGTAGATCCTTTTGTCCCAGTGTCTTAATTTAGTGCAAGGGATAAAATATCCAACTTGTAGCCATTAAGTTATCTAATGGCTAACAAGTCTGACTGATGAGAACAGATGTCTAAACTCATCTCAGCATGGCCATGCATTTCTTCAGTCATACTTATCAGTGGGCCCCTACAAGACATTATTCTGCTTGAGTAGCAGTGACAAATTCTTTGTACGTAATCTACGTCTTCGAATATGTGCAGCGGCATGCCCAATACAAAGCCTGTGTACCATCCTTATTTCATACGGCTTAGGACAATGAATCAAAGCATGCGGGTTCACACATTCGAAGAACGTAATACTTCAAGTCTGAGGATCGTTATACCAATAGTCGCATTAAGGACACTTAGAGCATAGACTAAAAGTCTAGGCAATGCCCTTAAGGTGGGTCAGGTCTGGCATCCTATTATTAACGATAATATCTGCCCNGCATTAACGATATCCTGCTCTCGTTAATGCTTCGACTATAGACCGTTCAGAATTATACTAAGTGACAAGATGTCAGTCTCAACATCAGAAGACTCATTCTGATAAACATCTTATAATATAATTCTAGGAATGCAATTAAGAGTTTACATTAGCATGAGATGTTTGTAAACTTAATGCATCTGCCTTTACATGATAGAAAATATCTAAGATATTACAACAGCAGTTGGCCATAAGGGCATCAACTCCAACAGGAAGGAGAAGTCTCTTATATTCCTTCGCATCTGAACATGACTGACCTGATCCTTGAAGCTTAGAGAAACAATCCGGAGAAGTCAGCACAGCATCTATCTAGCTCAAGACTGGATGGAACAGAGGCTGTAGGAACCATTGTCTCCCACTTCTCAAATGATGACCACACAAAGGAGAGATACCACAACATCAGGTGCATCAAAGAATAGTGTGGAAACATGCAAGGCATTAGTGAGATTGCCGGATCTTCAAAGCGCAAGAAGCACTGAAGGTTCTATTCATCAAACCAGGGGGAAAGTATGTGAAAACACTATTTTGCTTTGATGAAAACACCTTCTTGTTTAAACATTGCTTGTTTGGTTTAAACATTGCTTCAATATTTCTCTTAATTATGCTTACTATGCTTCACCTTGAGTATGATTTTGAGATTTATTCCTGAGCGCATACATTCAGGGGGAACTTAATTTTTTTGGCTAACAATTGTTTTTGGCTATGAATTATTGATGAACTCTAAGCAATGGAATATGGATATCTCAGTGTTAGTACTAAAGTTGAAAATCTCCAATTCAGGTACTTTACAAAATCTGCCTTCTTAAACTAAAATTTAATCTTTAGTTCATTTCCAACTGGCTTTAAAAGTACTGGTCCTTAGGACTTTATTATGTACAGGACTTTGGAAAAATAGAACCACTTTTCTTTTAAATAAATTACAATTTTTTTTGGTACTACCTCGTCTTATTTAGAAATTAGAACTATAGGGAATGAAAAATGATAGTTTTATTTTGGGCCCTGAGAACCCAATAGGAATAATTTCCCTCTAGTGCATAGATTTTTTTGGGCCACTCTTTTGGGCTTAGCCAAACTAAAACAGTTACGTTTTTCAAACCAAACAAAACTGATTTTTAAATTGGAATAGTTTCAACACATTGGTAATTGCTAAAAGATTCTTTCAACTTTTCAGAATTCAACTTCTTGGAAGTTGAAACTCTTTTACTCTCACCGTTCCAACTACCTGCTTAATGGAACCCGTGAACCTCCCCTCTCTCTACCTCCTCTCCTATTTAAACAGAGACATTCCAATCCATTCATATCACAAACAACTCTCTTAATATGAAAAGTCTTCAAACTCACTTTCTGAGATAAACACCAAGAAAAATATCCTCAATGGATAAATTTTTCTTTCCCACCCTCATAGACGGCAATGGAGAAAGTCTAATGAGAAGAAAAGACATTCAAGGTCTATGGTGCAAATCTCGGCAGTAGAGAAGGGTTATGGTGCAAATCTCTTATTTTTCAGGATTACACCATACACCTTCTTTGGAACAACACTCTCTCTATTTTTCTTTTATTTTTACTTTTTCTCCTTTTTTTTCTTCAAATCTTATTTTTTTAAATTTTTTCTACTTTCATCTCATTCCCTTCCCTCTCTTTCTTTTTCTGTCCTTTCTTTTATTTATGCAGTCTCTTCACCCTTCTCCCAAGCATTTTTCAAAATTTGTTTTGTGCAGTCTTTGCTCCCTTTTCTCAAGCATTTTTCAAAATTACTTTTTCAAATTTTTTTTCTTTCTTTTCACCAAATTTTTCTTTTAAACTTTTTTTGTTTTTTCCTTCATTTTTAAAAACCCTTATTTTATCTTTTTCACAATCAATTCTCTTTTCTAAAACCTTTTCTTTCTTGTCTTTTTATCTTTTTCTTTCTTCCTCCACCCCCGCCTCCTTTCCCTTTACCTTCTTTTCTTTCTTTCTTTTTTTGTTCTTGTTTTTGCTTTTTGGAGAGATGTGTTGCTTCCAAGATCTTGAATATCGACTTTGGATATTAGAGATCTATCAAACGCAATGCCATCCGCACTGCTAAGCAAGATCTGTTGAAAGTGAAAGCGGCAAATGGCGGAAAATATCACAAAATCTCAAGACAAGACTTGGTTTAGGAATTATTGTAATTTGAATTGTAATTGTTTAAGAGTTTTTGTTAACAAACTGTATATTATGAGAAACTAAAAGAAAGTTATAAAATTAGTTCTCAGTACAGCGACCGGAACTCTTAAACACTTGTTTGTCATCATCAAAAAGGGGGAAATTGTTGGGAAAATATTATAGATTTTGATGATGATGTATTTAGATTGTAATAAGGACTTTAGGCCTCCCCCAATATTCAATGTAATTTTCTTTTTAGAAATACTGTCAAAATCGAGTTCTTGAGATTTCCAATAAAGCTGTGATATTTCTTTAAGTGGTTTGATGCTTGAAGACTTAATCAAATTCTGTGATATGGAAATTGGACATCTTGATCGGAAATGTCAGAGACAAGTAAGGATTTCTCAAAGCAGATGAAAATCCTCCAATCCGGAAAACTACATGATAACCGGATGTCTCGATATAACCCGCTGAAAGCTAAGTCATCCAAATCGGAAGACTAGCACGGATCTCTTTCTCACCCGGAAGTGTGTGAATGACTCTTCCGAATTTGTCAGCGAAGGAACCGGATGCCTCAGAAAAACCAGAACTCTTAGAAGCGGACAAGTGAGAAAAGACTAGAAGACAAAGACTGGACCTCTCAAATTAAGGAGCCTGTCCAGAATTTCTAAACAAGCACTAGAAGACAAATAGAGTAAAGTGTTACAGTCCAAAATTCTTGAACAACAGCTAGAAGACGGATTCTATGGAAAAAGGAATCCCTCCTCAAACAATTGGGTATGTCCAAACACCCATTCCAATGAGGAATCCTCAATCACAATCTTCATTCAAAATTGAAGCTAGCAAATGCAACGGATAGTCTATTTTGATTCAACGGATAGATTATCCAATCCAGCTATAAATAGCATCCCTGGAAGATTGGAGAAAAATGTAGTACATGAACAACGAAGCAATCTCTAACAACAAAGCTATCTTATTCACAATTAGCCATAATGCTTGATAAAGAGATAATTCTAAACTCCTTATCCAGAAGCAAACTTCTCCTCCTTCCAAAGAGCTATAGTGTAAACACTTGAAGGTTTCCTTGCCTCAAGTACCACACCACGTTGAAGGATATAACTTTTGATCAAACTTCTTGATTAAAAGGGGGTAGGTCAACTTTCGTAGAAGTTGATCTTGCAAGTCCTATTGTTCGGATCTTGCAGTTGTTGAAGAAGCGTGACCTTCGAAGGAACAACAAAGCCAGCACGAGTGCAGTAGCAACATTGGCCTTGCGAAGATATACCGTGCAGAAATTCACACAAGTGTAATTGTTGGTTCATTATTCAACAACCAACTACATAGTGGATTTTGAGGACGTAGAAGGATTACCCCACCTTCGAACCTCGTTAAAGTTTGTGTGTCTCTCTCTTTTATCTTTACTCTTGCAATTATATTAACTGTGAAAACTGAACCATCCATATTGATTAC